TTCCGTTATCGGTTGGTTATTGCATCTAGTAGCAGTGTGTTAGTATATATTTTTTAATATTTTTGTTTATCGAACGTTATTTGGATAGGGTCCTAATATTTGAAATTTTGCAGGATGGAATATCATCTGGACGACGTTGTCAGACAGATCCCTGGTAAAGTTACCTCGAATTGTAACTTTACAAGCTTCGCTTTGGTATTGGATTTGCTGGACGACGATCACGCAGATATATTACGTCGATCATGCTTATGGCCATTGTATTCGTTGCGTGACGTACAGTGGTCTGGGCAGCTGCTGGATGCCCTATTATGTCGCTTGCTGAAGCCAGCTGACGGAGACGCCCTCCATTTTGATCTTGGGGGCAAGGTAGCCACGTTCTCTATATTTGAGTTTGCTCTCGTCACTGGACTGCGATGTACGGATGATGCAGAGGCGAGGGCCTGTGTTCCGAGGAACAGGAGGCTGTTGAACGAATATTTTCATGGACAGACGACGGTTACTCTAGCGCAGCTAGGAGATGCATTAAGGAGATGTGATCGGATGTCTGATAGGTTGAAGTTAGGATTGGTGCTTATCATCGAGAGCATACTCCGGTGTCATCACAAGAAGACATCGATTGACATTTTTCATTTGGAGGTTGTTGAGGATATTGATGCCTTCAACAACTACCCATGGGGTTGGAGATGTTTTCTTGATACATTACGCGTGTTTAGGAGGGGGTTTTCAATGCCAAAGGGGGATAAGCCCGAGCGCAAGTACGATGCATATGGACTGCCGTTGGCGCTGCAGGTATATGTTTAAGTTAATGAATTACCTACACTTTTTATATTGAATTCTATACATAATAATTGTAATTGTTTCAGATATGGGTGTACGAGACTGTCCCTATCTTGGCCAGTCGGTATGCGAGGAGAGGAGAGACACGCTATCCTCGGATGCATCACTGGCGAGCACAAGACAAGCCGCTTGCCAGACAGTTATCGGCTCTCCTCGACGATCCTGAGGTACGTATTATACAATTGCTATTTATGT